CCCCAAAACCCCAAAACCCCAAAACCCCAAAACCCCAAAACCCCAACCCACAAGAAGCAATTGAATAATTTACAAACTTACTATAAAATGGACCAACTTAGCATGAACCTGAGTGAAGTCATCGGCAGAGGAACTTTTGGCACTATTTATTCCTACCTTGACAAATATGCAGTCAAAGTCGCTAAAACTACTAAAGCGGGAGACCAACTGGAGGAGGAAGTAGATATTCTTGAAAAATGAAAGGGAGAAGGCATCCCAACTGTTTATAGCATGGCTACTCACCTAGGTAACCAATGAGTAGTGATGGAATTACTGGGTGAAAGCCTTCAGAGCAAGTTTAATCAGGCCCATAAATCCTTTGAATACTCGACTGTAGCAAGGATAGGGCTCCAAATGATTGACCGACTAGAGCATATTCATAACTGAGGAATTGTTCATAGGGATCTAAAACCTTCAAATATCTGAGTTGGACTTGAAGATGAATCAAAATTGTACTTAATTGACTTCGGGCTATCAGTTAAGCTATCGAAAGATTGCTTTGGGTATCAAAATAAGCGAAAATCAAGAGGTTTTGAAGGAAATTTCTTCTTTAGTGCTGCCGAATCTCAGCTTGATAATACTATATCGAAAAAGTCAGATTATGAAAGCTTAACTTACATAATGTTGTTGTTTTTAAAACAAGATTTACCATGGGGAGACCTATGAAATGAAGGGGCTAAAAATAATGAACTTATTGCCAGAATGAAAAATGATGAAGCTATTGAAAAACTCTGAGAAGGACTGCCTGAAGAATTCAGAGAGTTCGTTTTCTACATTAGAAATCTCGAATCTAATTATAGCCCAAACTGACAATTTCTTAAAAACCTTCTTCTAAAATCCCTAGGAAAAGGCTCATCCAAAACCTCTTTACCAAAATTTGAATGGGAGTCTATCTCACCATCCCTAAAGCCCAAATAAGCGATCGAAAAAATCCCACCACTCCAAAACCCCCCTCACATCTCCCCCAGCCCAAAGTCCTGCTAAAACCACTAGCGGCAGCTCTCCCAAACACTTCACCTACAAAAAGAGGCAGAAGAAGCTCACCTCCAAAATCCTCGACCAGGGGCTAATCCCTGAAGGTCTTTTCGAATGTTTATAACCACTCTACGTTCTACTCTAAATTTCGTTTTTTAACTTCTGTCTCCTCTACCATACCACTTTGGAACTCCTTTGGTGGCTAGGTTTTAATTACATCAAAAATCCAATTTTGGGGTCTTTGGAAGGGGTTTTGGGGTTTTGGGGTTTTGGGGTTTTGGGG